TTTTTTTTACCAAGTTCTTCTTTTATATCATTATTTTGCATGTAAAAGGTCAAATCGTTGTTGTAGCTAGAGAGCTCACCTTAGGAGTTAATCATCAAGTAAAATTCGTTCTGTGACTAAAAAAATCATGATCCTGCAGGGATGTCAACCCCAGAGCTTTATATATCTGGAGAAATAGCCTCGATTATGTGTATGACGTCACACCATGTGAATGACGTTACAAATAACGTTGCATAATCAGTTTATATATTTTTCATGCGCGAGTATACGTAAGCAACGCCTGTAGGTATTTCGTTCCTTATCGAAAGATCGAGAAACATGACATAATTCATTGAAGGTTTTCTCTGAAAATAAAAATCTACAATGATGGTTAGTAATTAATATCATTCTATGAAAATATCGTACGTATCCGGGAGATTTAGGRCTAAAATCTTGAGACCGGGAGATTCGATCTGAAACCGGGAGTCTCCCGGCAAATCCGGGAGAGTTGACGTCCCTGATCCTGCAAAATTGAAAGCGGCCAGTAGCTCTTTGTATGTGTAACACGAATATATAGTGTACGATGGAACTCTGTACTTTTGGCGCTAAATGGTGCGCGCACGCGTTTTCGTAACGACTTCGGGAAGAAATTCGTAGCCTAACACCATAGTATATAKACCCGTAATACTCCGTGTAGAACAATCTTTTTAATTTTGTTTATTCTTGTCTTGTTTAAAGTCCTGCCAAACGAAGCGAGTGCGACTTGGATTTGATCTACGAAGAGCTTCTTCACATCAAAGCTTTATCAAATGTTTCTACAGTGGTAAGGACGCATACTAATGCTGTCACAGCATCGCTGCGTAAAACATTTTTTAAGCTTGGCTTGYCTACGGGCCTGTTAATAACAGTAATTGTTCGTTAATATCATAATATTTATGTCAATAATGCTCGTAGGTAATCAGGGACTTGTCGACTGTCATTGAACTGGAAACATACGAAAAAAAGGGAACAGTGTGTAAGGACATTATTAATTATAAATTTCTGTAATGTTTGCCATATCGACTGGTGTTCGTTGTGTAACGCGGTATGCTGTTATTGCAGTGTTCACACAAGGGACTGAAGGCAAATCCTGGTATATCGTTTTAAAGGGTTCTGTCAATGTGGTGGTGTTTGGAAAGGTAGGATTGAATAATATTTGAATAATATATAAGAGTGCTGTCGTCGTAATWGGAAATCCGCTAAAGGCGGAGAAATTAAGTTTACAAAAAACCTCAATTTGTTGGAAACATTGTTGCCGGTTCAAGTTTGTTTCAGCGTTCCTCGTTTCAGCTCATGGCCTGTTTTTGTTGTTGTTGTTGTTGCTTCGGACAAGTGTCCAGTAATCGGGAAAAGTGAAAAACGAGAATAATCAACTTCCGAACATGAACAGCAACAATGTCGCGTGACAAGTTGAGTGTTTTTGCTTATCTTCCCCAGTCCCTACTTCACAGCAAGCTGCTCAACGCCGGGTTCGTTAGAATCCTTTTATAACGATAACAATTATATATACAATTTGTTCTTCTCAAATTCTACGCGCTGATTTCAGGGCGTGGTCTGCCAGCTTGGAGAGGGAGACGATTTTGGSAAAATCTCTTTAGTCAACGATGCTCCAAGGTACCTTTGCATTCAACGTATAAATAATACTATCCTAATAATATAATAAAATACTGTTATTCCACGTTCAGAACCGCTAGCATCGAGACATGCGAGGATAATTGTCAGTTTCTAAGAGTYGACAAAGAGAATTTCAACAGAATGCTCAGAGTAAGTCTGTTTTATTATTTTTTGTGTAATAWATACATACTAACAGTTTCCTCCACTAAAGGATGTTGAGGTCAATACAGTGAGGATGAAAGAAGGAGGGCAAGAGGTCTTAGTGTTGAAGCAAGTCATGCAGCGTCGGTTTGATGAGTTTGAAGTTACCAATCACCAATACCAGTATGTTAAGTTTAATTAGTGCTAATTAGCATCAGAGTCGTTACACTAGCTAATGTTTGTATCATCCTTGRAAGCCCAGCGATACTCGTCTTTTATGCACTCGTTTCCTGACCCATTCAGCTCTCTAAACGTTTAAATTGGCTCGCGATGCATCTTATTTTTTGTCTTTCCCGCTTCCCATCAAATATATCTAGCGTAATCAGAGACTATGTGGGTAGGACTCATATTTTTTTTCTGTGAGCGAGGAAACGAGTAGTGAAGATGACATCTGAGTCCAGAAGATGAACAAGTAATTGACACTGTACCACAAYTGTTTGTTAGAATCTAATTACTCTTCAGAATCCCATTCCTAGGAAAAAAATCGTATACGGATAAGTCAGTATTTATAAGAATAGAATTTGCATGCTCCCCCTTTCCATATACTAGATTTCAGTCCGATAACTGATGTCATGAGCTCAGTTAGAAACAAAAAAACAAACAAATGATGTTTTTATAGAGTTAAATCTACMACTTAATTCTACACAACTAATTATTCTTTGCGGACACCAACCTCATTCCCAGGCTCTTTGTCCCTTYGCTTGGAGAAGGGCCTGGGGAAGGGATAAAGGGCCTGTGAACGAGGTTATACGGATACATTGAAAATGTATACCGATGTTCGTTTTTATTTCCCTCAGGTATGCAGTGATGGCAGGGACCGTTGAAAAGATGATTGAACATATGCTCGAATTACCAGTCGAAATTAGCAATAAACGTAAAGGTAGACCGCAATTTTAGTTTCATTTGTTGTTCTTTATAGTTATTGACATTTTATTTCTGTTTTTAGATACTTTTCTACAGGACTTTCTCTTGGCTTACCAGTTGTTCATGACATCTGAAGAACTGTGTATGGAGCTGCTAACAAAATATCCTTAACATATTGTTAATATTTGTTACTTTATGTGTATATCCTACCAGCAGGACGGGTGACCTTAGTTTTACTTCAACTGGAAAATTTGATAAGTTTACAGGGTTTGTAAATAATATGTAAATATACTGTACCACAATTTACGGACAAAATGTACTTTTAGCAAAGTTTTTAAAGAAAMTGTCGCCAACTAAAGCCTTAGTAGATGAACATCCCACAATATTAAGACGATTCAAAATGCGACCGTACTGGTAATAAGTTTTTTTGAGTAGCCAAATATCGCAGCCACAAATTTTATAATAGTTTTTGAAAAACTGGTCCGGTTTTCTAGGATAACAATTTTTGAGCTGTATGTGTTTTTGCAAAAACATCGCGCTCTTGCAGTAAATATTAAGGACCAGTTTAACTGTACAGGAAACTAAGGCCCTCTTAATGCATTGGATACAAACTTATGTGGGTACAATTCTTAACCTATTCGAACATACCATGGTAAAGCGATTCTCATGAATGAACAAAGAAACACAAACAGTGCAGAAATCTTGGAACATTGCCTCATGATCAAGAAAAGGTGAATGATTATGATTCAAGACTGCGGTTGATTATATATTAAAATATGTATATCCTTTTTTATCTTTCCTTTTCTTATTTACCTAGAGTTGCTAACGTATTTGTGCAATGGTACAAAAGAGCTCAGAACTTGCTTGATGAAGACGAAAGATCCTTTTTACTAATCAACGTAAGGCCGAAAAAGCCTAAAAATAAGTTATATAATAAGTTATCTTCATGAACAATGTAAGCAGATAATTATAATTATTATTAATTCATTTCGTGATCAGGATGTGATGTCAGCTCTCAAGGCTGATAATTTAACAGAAGAGCTAGAACTACTGAACGACGTTATATACAAGAAGAAAGATCCTATAATTCCGTGAGTGCATGAGAACTTCTCTCCATCCTATTTTTCCCATTGTTTTTCCCGCTTGCAAATTTGTACATTGAATCTAATTCTGTTTTGTAGTAAGGTTGTTGTAAAGGACACCCAAGCACATACAATCACGGTAGAGTTAGTTCTTGCATTCATTTTTCTTGCATTTCATTCATTTAATTTTCATTTCTGTATTTCGTAGCGTCGTTCATTGTCCTTCTCAATGCCATTTCGAACATGGACTTTGCCCGAGTCAGAGAGATTGTACAAGAAGACACCTATTTCACCAATAAAACAGGAAGACCACGGTAAACACAGTCAGCGGTCGATCGGTGCTCCAATCTCGTACTCAGAGCCTGCACTTTTGCCGTCCAGCGAAGTCAAAGCGGTGTTAGCAGACCGCTGACATTTTTAATGTTCGCAAACACTACAGAAAGGGCGTTTATCCCGTGAGGGTGAAACGTAATGTTCGAAATACAGATAAATGTGGAGCTTTACACCCAATGGCTACATCTATACTTCTGAATGCTTTAGCACACAAGGCTCTACTCTCCTGAGAAATAAAGAGCAAACCTTCATGATATTTTGATAAAGTGATAATTGTCTACTACTTTTTTCAGTGATCTTCAAAGTTTTTTGTGCGGATCACACATACACCACCGTGMGGCTCAAATATGGCGACACGGCAGAAAAAATTCTTGAGACAATTGAAGAACGTGTTCATTTTGGTGATGACTGTGTTCTTTGCGAAGTCAAGTCTGATAGTGGTAAGACCCCGTGTATCAAGTTATTAACTCTGATCAATTAAGCTTTTCAAATTTCTTTTGAAATTGAACAATGATCTACTAAATTAGTGCACCATGTCTACCCGGTTGGTCGGAAATTCTGAAAGTGACTTTTAAAAGGACCCTTTATTGTGAGATGATAGGATTGTCTGGTAAAATTTCATTCCTAAAAGAGACCAATAACCAATGGCACTTTGGATTGTCTTCTCGATTTTATATGGTCTATGTCTGTACTTCAAACGCYGTGATTCTTAAGAATTTATGACAAGTAGTAGCCTTGATGTTCATATTATATTGCCGGCTTAGGGCCCTTACATATCCTTAAGTAAGGAACGAGCAAAAGTTACATTGTCATTATCACTCCAAGCGGGACCAAAGCACTGATTTCTATAAAAGGGGTAACCARGACCCCGCCCTCTTTTACAAGGAAGTCTCCYCGAAACATTTCTACTATCGTTAGCATTKTTTACTTTTGCAACACCTTTTCGCAACACTTCACTAACCGTAAGCCACTAGCTGTAGGCAYTTTTTAWGGCTATCTATGATATATCAATGTGTTGCCTTGGTTTTTGTCTAGAAATTATACCTTTCAAACCAGAAGAATTATCAGTKATAACAAGGCTAAGTGTCAATGGAAAGCTCTTCGTAGCACCGAGAGGACATCTTGATTCTTTGGTAAGAGAAACTTAAACAAATCTGATTGATTGACTTTTGAGCTCAGATTCTTAATTTTTGTCTTTGATAAAATAAATGGCCCTGACTTTGCAAAACATGCTCATGGTAAATTGCTATGTTGGTAGAATAAAAGGGTTTTAATTTTGGAAAAAGCGCCATGGCCTCCTAAAAAAGCCGGCCTAAAACATAGCAAGTGTAAATGCTGGAGGTGAAATACGCTTGCAATCACTTTAAAAAATACACGTTTACACCGCCTTTGTTTTTGCCTCACGAAGATGCAAACAACCAATAGTTCTGCTACGATTCAACAAGCCATTTTTCTACAGTCCCATCGTTTGGACTTGCCTCAGTGTGTTACTCAGGGTTCTTCTTCATGCAACGATGCGCGCGACAACAACAACTTTGCGACATAACCCCTCTCACATTATGCAGTGGTGCGGGTGCATATCCCCTCCCTGGACCTTCAACACCTCCTCACCTGCACCCTTCCCTGCATCAATCATGGCTCACTCCCTACTGCGCAGCTTTCCTGCAACGTATTTCGCACACCAGTTGATGAGACAATGTCAACTGATTGCAACCTGATTATTATAAAGCACTTATTTTCATATTTTGAAGAGTGATATTATATTTCTTTTCAGACACCACTGTCAGAGCAGGAGGGCCCCAACTGCGGCACATTTCTATCACAAGAGAATGTATCGTCGAGAGAGATCGCGTACTACTTGACGGAATACGATTATGAGTTGTTCTCTAATGTCAACATTGTAAGTAAAAACATTTTATTCTTCAATAGTCCTTTTGCATGAAACAACAGTCACATGATACTAATTCCACCATGTTGGACGGCAAAATACCCACTGGTATGTTCAACTTGAAAAAAACAAAAAGTTTGACAGTCTGCGTTCCTTTTGATTTTGTTCACATGATTCTTTTGCCATACAGTATGGCGGATTTAGTACCATGTAACCTTTTCATACTACACACTAGTCTGTGACGTCACGGACTAGTATACAACCCGCGAGGCTCGGATCTCGCGGCCAGAGGCTTGGCACGAGTAATAAAGCGCGCGCTTGCGGTTTTCTTGTTTTGTCATGTTTTACAATTTTGTGCAATTTCTTAAAAAAGTTTTCACTGATATATTAAATGCGCACTAGGATTGTTTGATAACGTTTTTATAAATGGCAACATGTTTTTCTTGATGAAATTGTGTTTTTTTTACAGTACGAATTGATTTATTATAACTTCGGTCGCACCAGCTTCAACAAGATCACATCCAATCTGGATATTTTCCTTCGACGTTTTAATGAGGTGAGTGCGATCTCGGGAATAAAAAATAGAGCAGAGTCAGTTGTTTATAGCTGTGAATCCGCAGGGACCAAGTACACAYGCACACTGAAGTTAATACACGAAACGGTCCCAGAGCGTCTCCTTCTACAGCATAATATGTTATTGCATAGCTTCTAGCTGTATGCTTTATTTTATGCCACAAATACGGTCTATCATACTAAAAACATTACTATATCTTTYATAGGTGCACTTCTGGGTGATAACCGAAATTTGTATGGCAAACCAGCTCAATAAAAGAGTTCATTTGTTGAAGAAATTCATCAAGATAGCCACACAGTAAGTTCACATGGCAAATTGACCTCTGATGACCATGGAGTTGACTTTTAATTCCAAATTCTTCATGAACGCCAACTTCCTTCTTATCTAAGAGCATTTTAATATTCATAGCTGCAAAGAATACAGAAATTGGAATTCTTTCTTTGCAATCATCATGGCACTTAACAATGTTGCCGTCAGYCGGCTTTCTCTTACTTGGGAGGTAGGTGGTTGCACTTTCTTCACAGAGGTTTTTTCGCGCGCTTTTTCAATGCGCGCTTTTCGTGCACACCGGAAGTGAAGCGCATTCATTTCGTATTCCTGTTTTGTTCAATCGCCAACAATGGATGCTTTTTTTCGTTGCCTTTATCCTTTTGTTAACACTTTTCCTACTTTGTACTTTTTTGAAAAACAGTAGAAAAAAATTATTTCTTCTAAAATCCATCAAAGATTTCATTTTAGAGGATGTCAAATAACTGTTATCCCTCCTTCGACGCACAGAAAACACAAAACTTGTTTGAGGAAAACTAGTTTCGTCTTTACTAGACCTTTTCAATTCCTATAATAATAATAATAATAATGGTTTATTCCTCTACAACTGTTGTAAGATTAATTATGCCTAATAAGCCATCATGGTTCTCGGTAGATATCCCCTAAAATGACGACTTAATATAAAAAAAATGAAAGAAAACCAATCAAACTAATACCCAATTTTTATTTCAAGAAACTTCCAGGAAAATTTCGAAGAATGTACCAGGAATTCGATGCTTCGCTGGTAAGWGGTGACCTAATGCTGYAAATGTACAGTTATTGATCGCTTAACAGGTGTTTGTTTTCATCAGGATCCTTCAAAGAACCATCGTGTYTATCGTCTKGCGATTGGTCAGTATACAGCTCTTTCAGAAATCGTTGAATACTGAATTCTGCATACTGTATAGTCCGCATTCCAAGACCGCRATGCATTGTTGCTTTAMWAMTTCACGTTAGTTGCGTTACAAAATGGCAATTCTAAACTTCATGGCTTTCCATTTAAGTTCTGAAACCAGGCAAAACTCCCTGTGAATAACGATGGAAATGCATTTAGGTCTTGAAATAAACTATTACAAATCAGTGTTTTCTGAATTAACTGAAAATATCATTGAAATACTCTTGAATTTGATGAGGAATTGGAATTCTCTTTGTTCAACAAATTAAGTTCTAATGCTGTACTGTGACATGGTAAGATAGCAATGATATGACGACACCTAAACCCGTGAAACAGAATTTAAAAGTCAATATCTAAAAATAAGCACAAAAGGAATCATAAGTTGCAGAATCCAAAACTGCTTTATTTTCCTTATTGAATTTGATAATTTTTTAGTATTTTCATAATTTTTATAACATACAGGAAAGATGAAACCTCCAATAATCCCATTCATGGCAATATTGATGAAAGGTAATTTTATGCACTCTAAAAAAATGGGTAAACCATCGGAAATGTAACCATGTGAAGCGGGAGTGGAAGCCGAAAATGAACTAAAAAATCGAGCATAGAGAAAAAAAAGTAAAAAAAAAAAAATAATATATCTTGTCAGTTAAGAAGAAAGAAAGAGAAATAGTGTCTCTACAAACAATTCATACAAGCTTTTATTAAAATATCCCCAATTGAGGCCCTTTAGATCAACACCTAAATTACTCACGATGTGATCATTGTTCAATCATGATCCTTCATCAATGTGCACTTTTCTCCAGAAGAACCTAACGTGTTTTTTGTATAAAGCTAAAACCAGTTAAATATGTTTTCTCTGTATAGATATAACATTCACTGATGAAGGCAACAAGACCTATTACGATGACTTGATCAATTTTGAGAAGATGGTAATTCTTTCATGATGTGTTTTTTGTTTTTTTTTTGCAAAGAAAATACTGATTTTTCAGTGTTTTTTTTTTCAGAGAATGATAACATCAACACTACACCTGATTGAGTACTGCCGCAGTGAGCCGTTTGGTGAGAAAATGCATTAACGGTTACATATACCAATATTAGGCAAGGTGTAGCAACGTTAATTTGTGCACGCTTTGGCCGTATTTCAGGGGGGATCAGGATTTTCTTCAGGGAGTTGTACGGGGCTCTCAGGAGAGGGTGCGCCCTACGTTTGGTAGTATCGTTAAACTACCATAAAATTGTAACTAGCTGGCTATATTTGTGATCTTTCGTGCGTTAAACCTCGATGTATTCTCATTCTTTATCTTTGCAGAGTCTCCACCTACGAAACACACGAGTGACATCACGTATTACTTGAGGTAAAGGGCTCTTGTCACTTCCCGTAACTAACGCGTCCATTTATTATTATTCCAAATTTTCTTGTATCTATTCTCATCCAAACTTTGGTAGAACAGACAATTCTCAAAATAGAGGAAAACCTAATAAGTTTTTCCTCTCAAGTTCTATATAATTATTGATTTACTTATTACGATCTAAATTYTTCATAGAAATCTCTCTGTGAATGATAACCAAAGGACGTTGATACAGATGTCACATCGCTTGGAGCCTCGAAAGACCTAACTGATGAACTCAGAACTGATAAAAAAAATTAACGTTAACAGCAATTTGATTGGCTCTTTAGCTGTTTCATGTAMCTGAAATGACCGGTTCCCCGGCTTGCGCGAGCGTCAAAATTGTTAGTTTTCCCGCTTTTTTCTGTTTCGCTAAATGCACAAACTTTAACGACAACATCAAATTTTAGTTTSGTGTAATTTGTACCTTTTGTTTTCTTCATCTTTGAACTTTCATAAATTTTTAAATAATTAGTTTGTTCATAGGATATATCATTTGTGAAATACTCTGAAAAGCCTCTTGAGGACTGTCTATCAAATATGGGTATTTCATAAAAGTTCATTATTATTATTATTCAAAGCAAAATAACCGTTATGAAAGAATTTACATTCACAAAATCCGTGTCACTGCGAGCCCATGTAACAACATATACATAAACAGGAGCGTCCATATGCTAACTCTTGAGGAGGGTTTGGAAGATTTTGTCCGTGCAAGAATTTGTTTAGTACTTCAGACGCGCGCATGTAATATTTTTTGTACATTTACAAAAGCTTTAGTGCAGATTATTTTGCCTTGTAGGAATTTTTTCCAAAAATCTTCGCCTCTAAAATGAATCGTTTCTTTCCGTGCAAAAATATCTATCATTAAAAAAAATATTAATATATTCCTDATGCCAATTTTAATAAGGTATTTCATTTCTGAATAAAGATTATTGGTAAAAACTGGGCATTTTTTTACATACATTACGAAAATTACAATGTGCAAMATATCACGTGATTCATGCGTGTCCTCTCGCTACGCCCCTGTATATTTCGCATGTAAAACTTTTCAGGAAGCGTTTAGTTCGCCAGATTAGCTATTTCTGACTCAAAATATCACACACTGAGCCCAGCGTTTGTGCTGCCAGCCATGTAAGGTTTAGCATCAGAGTACAGAAGGCAAATCCAGCARAAAGAAAMGAAATGATRATCTCAAAGCTGTTCTCAATTTCCTCGTAACTTACAGAWCGCCAAACTTTGTACAAAACAGCAGTTGAAAGAACAATAGCAAGGACTAGGACCAGATAGGACAAGCTTAACTTGCTCAAYTCAAAGCTGGTTAAAATGAAACCAAATCGAGCTGTGGRATTCCAATTTGCCACTTCATTGAAGTATTGAGAAAATGCGCCATCATGACTGGTGAAGAGCATTTTTCCCTGAAATTTTAATCATTTTGGGAGCTAAATCCAATAATTATAGTTGGTTATTTCCACAATAAACAACCTTACCTAGTCTATTAAGTATTTAATTTCCAAAGARACYCCTTTTCGCAGTATTCATCGGAAAGTGAGTCGACGTACAATGAATCTAGAGCTTTTGTTACAGTAAACAAGTTACTGGAAATGTGTATCACGTGAGGAGACAATGGTCGAGTGTTTTTGTGTTCAAGATTCAAGCCTTTTACGACGCGATATTAGAACAATCTAGACAAGCTAATGAAAGTATTAGTCAGAGTTTGCAATCCCCCGCGAATCATTAATACAGCATTCTTAATAMAACTATTGTGATACTGAATTTTATAAAGTATTTTATAGAGTAATGTAATCCTGAGCTAATAAACATTTTGAACAGTGCCGGATTGTTTCAATTCTCTTGAGCGAGCATAAATAATACACTMAATWTACTGTCAMTAAGTACCTGCAGACGAAGAGCACACTCAACTAAATTGACAGGAAGTCCTTCAAGACAACGTTTCAGGAAACGCAAGATTTCCACTTGTAAAGACATTTTACTTCAGTAAAATATTCGCTASTACTTGATATAAATATTAATTGAACTCGAAGATAAATTCTTTATCTACGTATTCTTAAGCGCTATTTTTCATGATGGAAATCAAGTTACTCCCGATGATGTTGATGCCAAACGAGTTTAAAAATTGATGATCTGCAATCTTTAAATCACTTAAAAAATGAGATTAATGAGAAGGAATCGAGTGTTACTGACAGCAATAATCCCTGAAATACTGAAATTGTATATCGACTTTACTCATAAAATATATAGAAACATGTTTTATTGGAATAAATATTATTGTTMTCACTGTGCCTCCTCTATTGAGTACTGGCACTTACAGATGTTTAAAAACCGGAGGGGAAAACTTTTGTATCAAATTTAACTAGTGCGTTAGAATACCCTCAAGTAGTTTGTAAGAATTAGCTTGTTATATTTCTACTTTATACAATGAAATACATGAGCAATACTAAGTAATAATAAAATTGAATATGGTTTTTGCAATCTATTGAGTTATTGCGTTTTTTTATCTGTTTACAAATCGAATAAAGTGAAGCAATGGCAATTAGTTGACAAGTTTTGTAATACCTGATAKCGAATGCAGTTGTGTTTTTGTGGACTTCAATTTACAGAATTTCATTAAAAACAAACTATTGTAGTAAGAAAATGAAGAAAACGAATGCTAGATTGGACGGATAAGATAATTCAGCTCATGGGCTATTGCTTGGTAATCCACGAGCCTGAATGGTCAAATTGTTTTTACYATAATATGTWTTCAGTATTGTTAGGTTAAGTTACAGTAACCAGCACAGCCAGCGGCTTGTGCTGCATCTGATGACAAACTAAGGCCACTTCCTTTGCTGTCTGTCTGCCACAATCCCGGAGTTTGAATTATCTAAGGGAAAATAGCAAATAAATAACATTGGAAATTTAGTTTAAAAAGGTTTAGTTTAAAAATCAACCCCCCACTTCCCAAAATGGTATACTCCTTTCCTGACAGAAAAGAAAAATATGAAATCCAATGAGAACTTTTGTATTCTGCGCTGCTTTTAGGGAACACATTAACGCGTATGGCATCTTTGCAAATTGACTTTTTAATTTCGTAAGATAGCCTTATAATCTCAGCCTTATAATCTCAGCCTGTGATTTTATAACACATGCGCTCAAAAAGGTTTTATATTGCTCTATGTCAGCTCGTAATTCGTGATTAAAAACCTTTTTTGAATTCTCCCAACAATCCCAAGTGTTTCTAACAAAAACACGAAAAAATATCTAAACCTTTCAGGATATTTCTTACAAGAATCTAATTTCCAACATTAACTGAAAGAGCATCAAAACACAGTTTCAATAAAGTCATAAGCTCTGGTTTCAGTGATGATAAATAAAACGATTTAAGTGATTTTTATATTTCTGCTTGGAAACATTATGCACACACTTGCATCCTTTTCAAACAATAGCAAATGGAAGTCTCAATGTATGCTTGATGAATGTACTTGACGTACATCCAGAGCAAATACAATCATTACAGTGTGTTATTTTTCATTCAAATTGGTGGACTCAGCCTCCATGTTCTATGTTTTCAAAACCTGAGCTGATATCAAAATACTCTACCTTTTCAACAAGTTCTTCAAAAGCAAGTTGAACACCTTCTTTCGTTCTTGCACTAAAACGAAAATCATTGTTTTATTTAATCAATAAATCAAGTGCACTGRGCTAACGTTAAGTTTACATGTAGCGCACTACATTGTCGATTGCTTTAAGTATGGATTTTATCATGTGCTTCAATGTTTCCAATGTGGATCAGCTGAGAAGCATTGAGGATACATGTACCATGTGACATGTACCAGTGGCCTGTCAGTCATACCTTGCTTCAATGAACAGCATGGAGTGTCTTCTTGCAAACTGAAGGCCTTGTTTTCTATCAACCTCCCGATTATTCTGTAAGTAAAATTTGTGTCAAATTCYCTCAAAATGGTAACAGAAATCGKTTGTTTCAAACTCTTAAATATAACTTAACAAAAAGCTGACAGATTGAAATCATGTCACAGTACGTTGACTCTAGATATGGTGTACAATATTTATCTTTATAYTGCAACTGTTTCATTTATAAATACCCAGCTGCTGCAACTCACGCTAGTTAAATAAATAATTACACAAAGTTAAATCCAGTGCCGTATTCGTCTGCATACACTACCTTGTCWATTTTATTGCCAACAAGCATTTTGACAATATCTTTTTTTGTTGAGTACATCTCTACTTCATTCAGCCATTCTTCAAGTTTGTCAAAAGTATCTATGTTACAGGTATCGTAAACTAAAAAAAAAGTAAATAAATAAATAAAAATCTTCTTCTGAATTAAATGACACAACTTTTSCCAATAACAATCACATGCAAACATGCCAAAATTATTCATACCACACAGTTGCAACTGTAGAAGGYCTATTAAACAATTATTTTGAATCTCTAGGAGAGTCGTAAGAGTTGTCAAGATGATWGGGCAGGTTGCATGTGATGATTGCAGGTMAAAGTTGTGCCATCTAATTCAGCCTTAACATTACCCACTATTTTAACCATTTAACTTAAACATTATTGTAAAATGTCCCATTTATCAAAGCATAGTTAATATTAACTATGATCAAAGGAACATATTCTAATAAATTGTTGTAGTTGTMGCAGATGTTAGCAKCAACTGATTTAAGCTCATTCTTGTTTAATTGGCCTTAGCATGGTCATACATGCCTCATGAATGAATATTTCCTTTTCATTTTCTATCATTTTTTACCTAAAATGACTCCTTGTGCACCCCTGTAATAACTTGGTGTAAGAGTCCTGAACCTTTCTTGTCCAGCAGTATCCTGTAAATGAGATATATAATCAATAAAAAGATTACTAAGTTTTCCTAGGGACCTATTCCTGGAAAGAGTGAAAATCAGCAAATGTGAWTTCATGCCATGTTCTAAAAACTTGCATGAAAACTGAACTGAGGCACAGGGAGTCCACCTGCGAACGTTTTYATATGGGCAAAATACTAGATTAACAGTATTTTCTTTGTTAGTCCAAATTTATATCATTTTCAATATACAGAACTAATGTAAAAGTAAATAGATAAAAAAATTGATTTTTGGTTTTTACAAATAGGTAACATACCCATATAGCTAATTTTGCTTTATTGCCTTCAACACTAATTGTTTTGACTTTAAAATCAACACCTAGAACAATCAAACAGTCAATCAATCAGTCAATCCATACGCAAGCAAGCAAGCAAGTAAGCAAGCAAGAAGTCAAACTGAAATTATTATTAAGCTAATTATTATTATTTTCCCCGAGCTTATCATTGTTTTGTCTCACTTTGTTTTGCTTTGTTTTGTTTGTTTTATTTAGCTTTTTTTGCTTGCTAGTGACATTTTCCATCTGGAAAACGACAACAAGTAAGGAAAACGGATAGGAAACTATATTTATATCAATCTGTTGTTTTTAATACTGGAGACAGTAGATCACAAGCTTCATACCTATTGTAGCTCCAATGTCAGGATCAAAGGTATCGTCTGTAAATCGCAGTAAAAGACTAGAAATAAAAGTATTCAAGGTARAAAAAATACRCTTTCAATCTATATTGAATTCCCAGGTAMGTTRTTGTAACAGAGGATGATCCAGGTTGTCCCTAGGAAAGGCTAACTTGTACAAAAACAAGACTTTGACCGAGGTACACTCCGTCACATTTTACGAGCTCATTTGTATGTACTGTAAGCTTAAACTTATAATGCGATATTCTCTCAATGTACATTAATAATAAAACCAAAWTAACACATTTATAACTCGGACATTTGAATAGTTTATCAGTGTTAAAATACACTAAAACAAATTGCACAATAAGCTGTAATCGATCATCAATCGTATGACCCATACCTCGATTTTCCAACCCCACTTTCACCGACAATAAGAATTTTAAGCGTTGTTAGGACGTCGTTTTCCATATTGCTGTTAATAGTACGTGAAAATGCTTCAAATTATAGTGGAAATCGTCCCGATTTAGCGATAAAATATAATGTTATTCCTCATTTCGTCATGTTTATGTCCAAATGATAATTTACACGTCTACTATACTGCGGAGATCCGCTGACCATATTACCCATAGWGCACTGCAGAGAAACAGGCATCCCAGCTTTATATCGTAATCCATTAATTTTACAGTTCATGGAAAAAAAGTTATAAAAGGAAAATATATTTGTCAAAAAAATCTCTTTTATAAGTTGACGCTCTTAGGTAACTTTATTCCTGTCTAGTAGAAAGAGATGATATGACGAAGCAGACGGGCGGATCAAGGTTTTCCGAAAAGGCTATGAATTTGTTCTTTTTTGTATCAATTATGGAAATGAATGGTGAATTTTCATGTCTGTTTCTTGTTATCACATTCTAGCTACGTGTTCAAAAGGCCACAATCTTGGACAAAAAGAGTTGGCAATCTTTGTAAAATCACAAAATTTGTCGAAGACTGCGCAGAATTTTTTTATTTCCCCCCCAGTCCTCATCGCTCAAAGTTGTATYTCGAAGATCACACATACTTGCGGAATTTATTATCTTCAAGGATGCCAACAACACTGTCTATAATTTCTTGAGACCTTACCCTTGAGCTTTAAAAAAATTCGATCATTGGAAAACATAATAGTGAGAGAGCCTAGAACAACCTTTCAGCCCTCTCCAGTTACATGGCTACCATCATTATGTTTCAAAAAGTAWAATTTCTGAGAAAACTGGATCTCCATGGCTGTTTAAACCGTGCTCAGTTTCACTTCTCGCCCGCGCTTCTCTGAATAATTGACATGGGCTKGGCGTCGACTCGAAATTGATATAAAACTTTTGTACATAGGTTTTTTTTCTTTTTTAGATTTTCGAGCTAAAGTAGAGCTTACAATGATGTTATCTGTATGAATCTTTTGCTATGGTCATCATCGTGAAAGACACCGAAAAAAATAAGTGATCAAGGAAATGGCTAGTGTGGGCCACACATGCAATCAATAATGCCTTCTTCCGTGTGGGAAAAACAAAGTTGAAATATTCAACRTAATTTAACAGTGTTAAAAACCATCAAGGTCTCATCGAATTAATAAAAAAATAAGAAAATTGCAGCGTGGATGGAATAAAATAACAGCCTACGCATGTACTTACAGGACAAGACAAACAATTATTAAAATACAGCTTTGATTRAATTATTCAACTTATCTGACAAAATGGACAAAATACAATAACATCAAGCACGGAATGTTGATATTAGWGCCACATTTCTTATCAGTTTATTTCAAATGTAATAACATTTCATTCAACTAGTGCCTTTTGTGTCACTTTGATATTGTTTCGCATGTAAACGTTAGCTTTACAATATGAAAATATTGTATGTTTTTTGCTGTCTGTTTCGATGTAAAAGGAAACAGAAAGTAGAAGCCGCGAGATATCGCTGACATACCCTTCCTCAATGTTGAAAGCTTTTTGTATTTCTTTCTGCCTGGTCTTGATTAAACTCATATATTTTCAACAGATAGCACAACTCGATCATAGAATTACTCTTACAATATATGCTATAAAGATTTTACAATGGAAAATAATTAACAATAATAGTCTAAGAATTTAATTCGTYCAAATGTGTTTTACATTTTAATAAAAACAATATTTTTAATATGATGTTTACGACTGTCTTTTAAAAGGATTTTCCCCCATGAGATTATATTTTTTAGCTCTTTGAATAGAGCGTCTTTTAAGTAAAATGAGGCAAATGAATGAAGAGATGTTCTCCTTTTTCAATTTAAGTCAATTGTGAATTCTTCATAATTTTATAACACGCCAGTTTTATAATATTCCGTGAAGTACTCGAGTTTTGTTTACAATACAGCAGTTCAACTAAAAAGACCTTGTCAAACTACATGTATCTACAATGACAAGAGACCACATTGATGAATAAATCAATGCACAAACCATAGTCTGATTTATGAAGTAATTTTCCTCGAAAATGATTATAATTCGTCGTTCAAATCACTTTTCTGTCGGTCTTCTAAGCACAAATCCTGATAACTTGCTTTCATAACTTCAACTATTTCGTTGAACTCTTTTTCTTCTTTAGCGAGAGGCGAAATGACGTGTTTTTGACTACCTTGTTCGTCATTACGAATCTTTAAGAATCTTCTCGCCGCAAGAGCTGCCTTTCCAATACGTTTGAAGTTTTTATGTGCTTTCATTGCAACATGTTGCTCCCCAGCGGTGTCCTCGGCTGATAATTGTTTTTCTAGCGAGGGAAATTCTCCATCGTTATTAGACCCAGTTTGTTTGCATTTGATTCCCAAGAGGAGGTTTGGATGTAAATCTTGTCCAATTGCRGGTGAAGGCTGTTTCTTTTTAACATCGCCAAAGCAATGTGGCGGAGTTTCAGCTCTATTACGTGGTATGTTCTTGAAGTCTTTCTCATTCAAGCTCGCTGTTGAGCTATCGGAGGATTTCCTCGTATTTTGAGAGGAAATTGATCGAATTGGATCAGATGTTGAAATCGGTTCGCTCATACTAAAATTAGGAGATACAACTGTTGAAATTTTTCGCCCTGTTCTAATAGAACAATTGTTGTTGCTTTTCTTGCGTGGTGTTTTTTCCGTTTGGAAAGCTTCAACTACTGTTTCCTCTGCATTTGTAACTTTATCTAAGGTAAATCCAGTCGGAGGCGCTGGCAAGGAAACGTGTCTTCTCTTTTCCAACTTCGAGGCTTCAAATGAGCATTCGGRTCCATGCCAGGCTTCTTTTATACCTTGAAATGGTAAACTTTTCCGTGATTGGGCTAGTCTTCCATTGTTTTCAAATTTACGATAGTCTGGCGTACGGTGGTTAATAGAAGTGGGGGCGGTCATGGTATCAATTGATCTTTTGGGCCTTGGACTTAAAGATATATCTTCCAATCTTTTAGCAAAACGTGATGCTCTGCCAAACTCATTGAATGAGATTTTTCGTAACTTTGTTTTTGAGGAGTGTGTCTTAGAGYGCTTGGGTTTCTCCTCAGGCTTAGGAATGAAGTCTCTCAGGACACTTTGAAATTCTTCAGACCCAGGCGTCACTCCTGACTGCGAAAACCGTCTCAAAGACCCTTGTGCAACAGAGCTCGAGCCATTCGCCGCACCATAATCATCATCTCTTGCTGAGTCCTGTTTTGAATTAGGCGAATAAATGTCTTTTACTGCCACATGCTTTGGCCTAGTACTAAGGGGATCTGATGGTAGTTTTACAAGTTTTTTATGACGTGCATTTCCTTTCGGCACCGACCMGTGGCTCGTTTTCCGCGAGGGCCCCGAAGGGTTCATTATTCCAACCAAATCATAAAAATTAAAATTCGGCCAATGCTGATACTTGTTTACCCTTCAGACTTATCGTTATATATAGTAAACACAGCTAAAATGTTTAAAGAGTGAGAAATTATGAAACCGTTGTTGTTTTACCATGTGTAGTTAAGCGGTGTCCGGCGAGCCAGTTGTATTGCTCTAAGTAGTATAACATGCTCTTTAAACTGAGCAGTTTGTTTTTGAAGATTCGTGATCTTTCACGCTGTTGCTRTTTTTCGACGCTCGGTTTTAGTTCCCAAGAAACGCGCTCGAGGACAAATAGCTGTCAACACGCGCACGTAGATATTCGTCGTTCGACAACAAAAACATGCTCTGAATTATTACGTTTCAAGTCAAAAAGTCAACACAGCCGTCCATGAATATTGCACGCACACAATCACTACATTTCAAAATTTGCATATAGGGAAGTTCTCCGTTTGAAAACGACCCTTTGCCAAGTCAACAAAAGTCAACTTATAAATCAAATAACTCAATAGATTTATGGCACTTCTATTTATTTTCCTCTAGTGTGTTTCCGCAAGCACTTTTGTTCCTGAACTCAAAAAARCAGCGTCTTATTCAAAATTCTAATTGAAGCGCTGTAGTTGGGACAAATGTGTCACGAGTTTGTGAWRAATCTTCTTTCAAAATTATAATTGATGGTTCATTAGCTAGGCTATCGTCATAGCAAACTGATRTATCGGCGTTGTTTCACGTGTTGATAGGCGTAGATAAACCGAAGCGTGAAACTGAAAGTAGAAACGATCACTAGCGATTGGATCTTGCCCAAAGCAACGACAAACGTATTACATTGCTCATCAATGAAACTTACGTGGTTTTTGAAGAAAAAACTTGCGCTAATATCTAAAACGAACATAAAAGATTCAACATCTTCCTGAATGAGACTAAGACAGAATTTCAAAATGAAATATCCATTTCAAAAGGCAAAGAAGACAARGCTTTAAGTTTTGTTTTCAAACAATTGCTACTCAGACGTCTCTTCTTCAAAGTCAAAAACCTTTCAATGCCAATGAAGCGTAAACAAAAGACTCAATAGTCTTGAGACTAAGTCTTCGTGAAGGCAATATTTCAAAGAAGACTTATATTAGGAAAACATTCATTCGAGCTAAGTATTTCATAAAAAAAACTTTGACTTTGACAGGCTAGTTCTCAATTTTGACTAATGATAAAATCCAAGATTTGTTCTAAGCCGGAAGCTTCCAAAATCAAATCAAACATAAAATCTCGCGTTAAGTACTTCCAGTCCTTAAAACTGTCACATGAAAGGAATAATGTTGAATTACTCTAGGAAAGTACTATAATTATCACAAAAATATTGACTTTTCCCTTTGATTCTTCTAAAATGGGCAAAAAACTGAATTAAAGTTTGTAATAATGATCCCAATTGTTCGTTGAATTATCCCGGTGCCGCAACACCTATAGTAGACATGTCTTTTGTTCGGTTTTAAACGGTTTTATATTTTTGACTAATTATTGATTAATCCAAATTAATTCTAATAATTTTTTGAATAGCATTTGCTCAATTTTGACGCTATTGGAGTCGCTTGGGTTTAAAATCAAGTTCTCTTTATATCCAAGAAGAAGAAAAAAAAATGAAACTGAAACAAACAACAACAACAAAAGGAGGAATTGAGCAAGTGGTTGACTGATTTTCAKAATCACGTGAAGCACATTTTATTAATCTTTATTTCGTCCTGACTCAACTAAATCTTATAGTATAGTTATTCTTCCCGAATGACGATAGAGCGGATTTCGTATGAGTGG